CTGAGAGTACAGAGATCTGACTCCTGATCTTAAGAAACTCAGACTAGGAAAGAAATCAGATAACCTGTGTAACTCTAGATCAACATGTTACTCTGATTTAAACCATAGGGGAGCACAGGTCATGGAAAGCTTACTGTTACCTCCAACTCTCTGGACTAAGGTGAGCCAAGTGTGACTGAATTCTGGGACCCATCAGAGGAGAGGTGGCAGGCAGGCAAGAGAGCCACTGTTGAGTACCTGTTAGGTACTCAACATGCTCTGGGACTCATGGTAAATATTTTACATACATTAGCTTATCTAAGCCTCATGCAACTCTGTGAGGTAGGTACTATCATGACCCCTACAGAAACCTAGAGGATTCCTGAGGGTCAGATATATTGCCTACAGTAACCCACCTGGAAAGGGACAATCCAGAGGTGAATCAATTAGAGCCAGTATCCTCTCAGTTGCCCCTTGCCCCTATACAGTGAGTTTTCCTTCCCCTGACCTGAAAGGCAGGGGTCAAGCTAAGATTATCTGTGACAAAGCATAAAGGGACAGAAGTCTTTTATTAACAATATATATGAGAAGGTGCCATTTTTGTGTGTATTTCTCTGTGTAAGAAATGCCATTTGGAAAGTCAGTGTGCGTGTCAGTTTTGGGGGTTTTTTTTTCATTCTGAGAAAAAGCCTATAGAGTCTGGTGGGGGAAGGGTTTACAGCTGGCAGGAGCTTTGGCATATGCTGTAACTAAAAAGAGAGGGAATGTGTTGGTGGGACAAGCTACCGGAGAGCTGTCTCGGTGTGCTGCGGTACTAGTAAGTGTTTTAATTGGGTAGGGTTTTTGGAGGACTATTTTGACATCTGCTCATGTCTTTGCTGATTTTTCTTCACTTAGAGTAGGAAACACAAGCTGTGGATAAAATGACTTTAAAATAATTGGAAGTAAAGATATCTCTCTCAAAGTCGAATTTGAGAGGGACACTTTTTAAGAAGTGGAAACTAAATTCCACTTCTAGGAATCCATCCTAAAGCACAAAGCTTTATGCCTACAGATTTCATGACAATATAATATATAATAATTTCTTTAAAACAGAAAATAATATCCAACAAAAGGGACTTTGTTGAGTTTGTTTCCGTGTAGTAGAACACTCTGTAGTGATTAGTGACGGTCTTTACAAAGCTTTTAATGAAGTGGAGCATTGCTTATATTGTAATCGGTGAGAAAAACAGAAAGAAGAATTGAGAATTATTTCAACTTTAATAAGTAAAGAGGGGAGAGTATAGGAGGAAATATACCAAAACTTTGTCTCCAAATAGTAGGGGGATTGGGGTAACTGTAATTTTCTTCTTTCAATTTTCCTGTCTTACTCATTTCTTTATGGTAGACTTATATAATTTTTATGATACAAAAGAAAAATATTGTTTGTGTAGGAGAAAAGCAGGTTCTGAGAGTGTTAGTGTTACTGTATGGCCCGAACAGATTCTCATTCTGAAGTCTGGGCCATTGGATTTGGAATCTCTTCAGAAAAAGGTGAACTATGGAGTCAGACTATTTAAAAGTTGGCTCTACAACCCACTAGCTCCATGACTTTGGGAAGTTTGTTTGACCTCTCTGAGCCTCCACTTCTTCGTTCTTATGTGGAACTGTGAGTATCTCCCTCAGGCACAGTTGAGATGAAAGGAGCTGGCAGCAGCAGCAGTGCAGCCCCCTTCTCCACCAGCACTTCCCACCCCACTCCCTGTTTGAGTCTGCCTTGCCTCTCTTCATTTCTCTTTTTTCCTTGATCCTTTCAGGGATAGGGCACCATCCAGCTGATCTGGCCTCTGATCCTCTTCTTGGGAACACTGAGCTTCAGGAAAGCCCTTGAGTCCATGCCAGGCCCTTTGGAAGAGGCCTTGCCACCAGGAGGGCTGCATTGTCCTTTAAGAGGAAACTGTGCCGACCCAGCTCCTGTCTGGAGCCTGGTGCTTGGGGCATTTGGTTACTAAGGGGACCCTGGCCTGCTAAATCAGAAGAAGGGGCCAGCATTTTTCCTATTCTTCAGCCTGCTGCCATTGTCGAAAAAGTAAACACTCCATACAGCTTAACCGGCAAGTCCTCCAGCCAGGAGTGGGAAGAAATCAAAAGCCTATTCCAGCCCAGCAGTGGAGAGCCCACAAGGGCTGGTCTGTGCTGCTGGGGCCCACTAAGAACGCAAACAAGGCCCGATTCTGGTCCAGAAATCAACATCCCACTCATTGGGCCTTTCAGCCCCAGAGGCTTCTCTCCAAAGGCCACTGCCTCCTGCTCCCTTCTGTTTGGGGCTGTTTAGAAGTCAGATAAGGCAAAATAGGTGTTTCTAGGGTGCCTGTGCGGCAGCCCTAATCTAAGTCGTTAAGGTCTGGAGTCCTCAGCTGAATTGTGAACTGCCCCTTCTCTGATTCTGTTTCCTGTGACTGCCTCAGCCTTTGAAGTGGGAGTCTAAGCAGTTACCAAAAAGGATTTTTGCCTGGAGGCCATTGCCACTACAGCTTTTTAGACTGACTGTGGTTGTTGTGTGTATTATAAAAATAATAATAATAGCTACTATTTATTATATCCTACTGTGTTGCCAGGCACTGTGTATATGTTACCTCCAATCCTCATGACAGCCCAGGGGGATGGAGGTAAGGGGGGTGGTCACAATTAGCATTTCAGTCTTACAGATGAGGAAGCCACGTAGTAGACATATAACCTTGGACAAGCTTCTTCAGTTCTCAGAGCCTCAGTTTCTCATCTTTGGAATGGGGATAATGATATCTCACCTCCAGCTCCACTGCTGGAAATGACAACATCTGTGTGGCAGTACTTTGTGAGCTCTGATGTGTGACATCAGTGAAAAAAGGCACTTAACCTGTTGGGTTGCAGAGTGAAACAGCTAAGGAGTCTTCATGTTCTCCTCTGTAAAATAGAGGTTGTGCTTTGTAAAACAAAAGTGATGCAAAATACTCATTATTTGTGTTATCATCCAACTTCACCCTTGGCTGAAAGCAGCGGTTAACATGTGTGTTGGGACTTGGAGGGGAGAATGAACCCCTAAGTTGACACTCTTATCTCTCCTCTGTGGCTCTCAGTCTACAGTAGGCACTGAGCAAATGTTTACAAACTGATGGATAGGGTCATGAACTAGCCCTGGTGCCTGGAGAAGTCAATCAATAGCAGAAGGAGTTGGAGGCTCCAGACGTGTGAAATGGAAGTTTAGGATTCTGCTGCCTGGCGGTGTTTTTTCTATTCTTCTGACCAGCATGGCTCTACCCTCCTGCTGGGAAGAATCTTGAAATGTTTACTCAGGTACCAAGTTTTGCTCTAGAGGCTGGGGTTTGAGAGAGCAAACATCAACCAGTATTAGTGAACACTTACCAGGTGCCAGTGATTTGGTCAGGTGCTGGTTATTTTGCAGGGGATAGCCAAACAGTGAACCCCTAAAGGAGTCCAGCCCCAGCAGGGGAAGGTAGGCAAGCAGAAGAGTGCTGGAGCTCAGAGTGATAAGGGCTGTGGGAGGTCAGTCTCTCCTGAGGGTGTCTGAGGACACGTGAGCGTGAACATGGCCTATGAAGACAGCCAGTCCTGTGTTACTTCTGCTTCTTATTTTACCTCTTTGAACCTCATCTTCCTCAAGTTATATACAATGAGGGTAATAACATTCACTTCACAGGGTTTGATAAGAATTAAATGAGACAAAGTAAAGTACAGAGAAAGAATGAATTAGCTTTTGGTATATGCTAATTGTTATCTATTTCCAAGGCATTGGGAAACTTGGGCTTGAGCCACCATCAGCTGTTTTGCTCCTTCACAGGCCTATATACAGTGCTCTGGGGTGAATTAGGAAAAGGCACCTGCCTCCCTTCCCCAACTGATGTCACTTGGCAGGCATATAGGTTGGCAAATTTAAGTTCTAGCTTGGCTGATAGGACATCCTTGAGGGGTGCATACCTGCATAGTCATATGCAGTGTGCTCAGAGGGTGACTAATAATGAATAGATCCCTTACATACAGGGTGACCATGTGTCCCATTATGCCAGTTGCCCTGGTATAATGCACCCTCTTTCACATTCACAGGTGACCTGGTTTGGACAACAAATTACAGGGTCTTTCTGTGTAATGAGGGTAAAATAAAAGACAACCGTTCTAAAGTTTATGACTCAAAAGGAATTAATATGCAGTGTCATAGGGTAGGATTGAATGGGATTGGGATGGAGGGTAGGCAGGAGAAAAATGAAGATGGATTCTAGCAGTAGATAAATTGTGTAATTAAAAATTAAAAACTCAGGCTATGCACTTCAGACTATGGATAGTTGCTGCCAGATTTGGGGGAGGTGTCATTTATTCTCCATATTATCCCTTCATCTCTTCTGTTACCAACCATGAAAACCCAGCAGACATGAAGCTCCCTCGTCCTTTCTATTATTGTGCCAGAATAATGACTTATGGCCAGGGCTTCTGAGCCATTACTAGCTGGAAAAATGGAACCAAATTGGAAGTGTGACCTTCCTACTTAGTGCTTAAGGGAAGTGTTAACAGTAGGCCATATACCATATTCCATACCCAAGAATGATAAGATCCAAAAAGGGGCAGGCAAGAAGCCTTTGGTAAATCAAGGGGATGATTGAATGTGGTTGTCATAGTCTAGCTGTGTATCAGAGTTCCTGGAACCAGAGCTTTAGACCTCAGTTTCTGTTAAATATGCAGCGAAAAAGTGATGATAGGATGTAAAGATTGTTCTTACTTTCTAGCTGTGTGACCTGGGACATGTTACTATAAGCCTCTATGAAACGCTTTTCACTTCTGGGACTTGGGCATAACCATACAGGCTCATAGAGTTTTTGTGAGAGTTAATGAGCTAACAAATGAGAACCGCCTAGCACTGGGCCTGCCACAGAGTCGGCCTTTGTCAAATGTCACTTTTCTTCCCTATTTCCCTTTACCTCATGAAGGCCAGGAGAAATATGTGCCCTGATACCCTTCAATGACTTTTTCTTCTTGATTGTTTTTACTTACAGAAAGTCAGAAGCATGGCTCTGGATGATGTCGTCATCCTGAACGTGGACACCAACACCCTGGAAACCCCCTTTGATGATCTCCAGAGCCTCCCAAATGACGTGGTGGGTACTGAGCTCATATAAAGGAAATGAGTGTGACTTTTGGGGACGGAAAAGGAGAAAAGCAAGCCAAGGACTTCTGTGGCCTCAGAACTGCAGTTTGTTTCTCAGTTCTCTCTGAAATCTTTATCTCAGTGTAGAAAGTTAGAAAGTGGTTTATTTATTGAGTCTTGTTTTGGGCTTATAGCTTTCATCTGAAAGACTAAGTGACCTCAGTGTCTAAATATCTCCTGTTTCTTTGGGAACCTCGGGTCTTTTCATCTTTTCCCAGCATATTACCATCTCCAGAGACCAGGACAGCTTCCCCTGAGTAGTCCCACAGAAGGTGTATAATGGGGTTTTCAGTGTGAGCAATTTGCAGTACTTCAAACCTCCTTTTTTTTCCCTAAAAATCATCAAACTGCCTTCCCCACATAGCAGGGTATCTGATGTCAGTGCTCTGATTATGGCTGTATATCCTCCAAATCGCTCTGTTACCTCAGGTGTAGACAAGGTGGGTTCTAGTCAATAAAAAGTAACTTGGTACCACATTTGCCATGCTAGCATCTGACTACACACCTGTCTCGTGTTGCTTCTTGGTGCTGCCTAGTAGGCTGTGTGATGTAGACCCAGTCTCCCCATCATTCATACAAGTGAGGATTGGGCTTCACAAGCAACTATGGTTTTGATGGTTCTGGTTTGACTCCATGGCTCTGCCTGCAAGATCTACAAAGTTCTTCTGACTTGCAGATTGAAAAGAATCAATGTTCCTGGCCATGAGGTGCTAATATGGGGCTGGAGTTTGTGTCCTGCTAGGGGGAGTGTTTTACCTGGTGGTCACTGGTGTACCATCACTGTTGGGAGACCCAGTGACATTGTGCAGGTAGCTCTTCCGAAGAGATTGCTATTTGCTTTTTGTTTTTATTATTCTTTATTTCAATAGCTTTGGTTTTTGGTTACATGGATGCATTGTATAGTGGCAAAAAAGTGTAGGCTTTAAGTGTAGTGACCACTTCTACCTGTGCACGTTATACCCCCTGCTCCCTCCCCATTCTGAGTTGCCACTATCCATTATATCATTTTCTATGCCTTGGCAGATCGTGGTTTAGCTCCCACTTATAAGTGAGAACATGTAGTGATAGATTTTCTGTTCCTTTGTTAGTTCACTGAGGATGATGTTCTCCAATTCCATCCAAGTTGCTGCAAAAGACATAGTTCATTCTTTTTGGTGCCTGAATAATATTCCATGGTATATATATACAACATTTTCATTATCCATTGATCAGTTGATAGCATTTAGCTTGATTCTACATCTTTGTAATTGTAAATTGTGCTGCGATGAACATGCAAGTCCAAGTGTCTTTTTTATATAATGGCCTCTGTTCCTTTGGATAGATACCTAGTAGTAGGATTGCTGGATCAAATGGTAGATCTACTTTTAGTTCTTTGAGAAATCACCATACTGATTTCCGTAGAGGTTATACCAATTTACACTCCCACCAACAGTGCATAAGCATTCCCTTTTTATAATACAATTATATAATTATTCCCTTTTTATAATACAGTTATATAATATAATTCCCTTTTTTATAATCTGTGCCAGCATCTATTGCTTTTTTATTTTTTAATAATGGCCATTCTGACTGGTATAAGGTGATATTTCATGTGGTTTTAATTTGCGTATTTGTGACTATTGTTTCATGTTTATTGGCCATTTGTATATCTTCTTTTGAGAGATATCTGTTCATGTCATTGCCCCACTTTTTAATGGGGTCATTACTTTTTTCTTGCAGATTTGAGTTATTTGTAGATTCTGGATTTTAGTCCTTTGTCAGATGTATATTTTGTGAATATCTTCTCCCATTGTGTAGTTTGCCTATTTTCTCTGCTGATTATCTCTTTTGCTGTACAAAAGCTTTTTAGCTTAATTAAGTCCCACTTATTTATTTTTGTTTCATTTGCATTTGCTTTTGGGAATTTAGCCATAAATTTTTTTCTAGACCAATGTCCAGAAACGTTTTAGCTAGGTTTTCTTCTAGAATTTTTATGGTTTCAGGTCTGACATTTAAGTCTTTAATCCATCTTGAGTTAATTTTTGTGTATGGTGAGAGATAGGAATCAAATTTCATTTTTTTGCATGTAGCTATCCAGTTTTCCCAGCACCGTTTGTTAAATAGTGTGTCTTTTTCCCAGTGTATGTTTTTGTTTGCTTTATCAAAGATCAGTTGGTTGTAAGTATTTTTTTTCTGGATTCTTATTCTCATTGTGTTCCATGTGTCTCCTCTTGTACCAATACCATGCTGTTTTGATTACTACAGCCTTGTAGTATAATTTGAAGTCAGGTAATGTGATGTCTCCAGCTTTGTTCTTTTTGCTTAGGATTGCTTTGGCTATTCTGGCTCTTTTTGGATTCCATATGAATTTTAGGATTGTTTTTTCTAATTCTGTGAAAATGTCATTGGTAGTTTAATAGGGATTGCGTTAAATCTGTAGATTACTTTGGTTGTTATGGTCATTTTAACAATGTTGTTTCATCATATCTTGAGTATAGGATGTTTCTCCATTTGTTTCGTCTTGTACAGTTTCTTTCATTAGTGTTTTGTACTTCTCCTTGTAGAGATCTTTTACTTTCTTGATTAAATATATACCTAGGTATTTTAGCTTTTTGACTGCTATTGTAAATGGAATTGAGTTCTTGATTTTATTCTCAGCTTGGTCACTATTGATGTATAGTAGTGCTAATGATTTGTGTGTATTGATTTTGTATCCTGAAAACTCACTGAATTCATTTATCAAGCCCAGGAATCTTTGGAGGAGTCTTTAGGAATGGTGAAAGTGGGTATCCTTACCCTATTCCAGTTCTAAGGGGAATGCATTCAACTTTTCTCTGTTCAAGATGACATTGGCTGAGTGTTTAGTATATGCGGCTTTTATTATTTTGAGGACTGTTCCCTCTGTGCCTATTTTTCTGAGGGTTTTTTCATGAAGGGATGCTGGATTTTATCAAATGCTTTTGCTGCATTATTGAAATGATCATATGATTTTTGTTTTTAATTCTGTTTATGTGGTATATCACGTTTATTGACTTGCATATGTTGAACCATTGTTGCATCCCTGGGATAAAGCCCAATTGATCATGGTGGATTTTTTTTTTTTAATGTGCTGTTAAATACAGTTTGCTAATATTTTGTTGAGAATTTTCACATATATGTTTTTGTTGTATCTCTTCCTGAGTTTGGTATTAGGGTGAAACTGGCTTTGTAGAATACATTAGGGAGAATCCCCTCCTCTTCAATATTATGGAATAACTTTAGTAAAATTGGTACCAGTTCTTCTTTGAAAGTCTGGTGGAATTTGGCTGTGAGTCCATCAGGTCCTGGACTTTTTTTGTTGTTGTTGGGAGACTTTTAATTGCTGTTTCAATATTGCTACTTGGTATTGATCTGTTCCAGGGTGTCTATTTCTTCCTGTTTCAAAGTTGAGGTGTTATAAGTTTCCAAGAATTTATCCATTTCCTCTAGACTGTCTAGTTTGTTTGTGTAGAGGTGTTAATAATAATCTTGGATGATCTTTTGCATTTCTGTTATATCAGTTGTAATGTCTCCATTTTTGTTTCTGATTTAGCTAACTTGAATCTTCTTTGTTTCTTCATTAGTCTAGTTAGTTGTCTATCAATGTTGTTTATCTTTTCAAAGAACCAACTTTTTGTTTCATTTGTCCTTTGTTTTGTTTTGTTTTGTTTTGAGTTTCATTTAGTTCTGCTCTGATCCTCATTATTTCTTTTCTACTCCTAGCTTTGGGTCTGGTTTGTTTATGTTTTTCAGTTCCTTGAGGTGTGACATTACGTCATCAGTGTACTATCTTTCAGTCTTATTAATGTAGGCCTCAAGTGCTACAAATTTTCCTCTGAACACAGCTTTGACTATGTCTCAGAGGTTTTGATAACTTGTTTTGTTGTCCTTCATTTTAAGGAATTTTAAAATTTCCATCTTGATTTCATTGTTGACCCAAAGATCATTCAGGAGCAGATTGTTTAGCTTCCATGTTTTTGTTTGGTTTCACTATTTCTTCTTGGAGCTAATTTCTGGTTTTATTACACTGTGATCTCAGAAGATCCCGGATATTGAATTTTTTTTTAATTTGTTGAGACTTGATTTGTGGCCTATCATATGGTCTATCTTGGAGATTGTTCCATGTACTGATGAGGAAAATGTGTATTCTGTTGCTTTGGGGGTAGAATGTTCCATAAAAATCTGTTAGTTCCATTTGCTCTAAGGTCCAGTTTAGCTCCAGTTTCTTTGTTGACTTTCTGCCTGGATGATCTGTCTATTGCAATCAGTTGTGTGTTGAAATCTCCCACTATTATTGTGTTGCTATTGTCTATCTGTTTTTTGAGGTCTTGTAGAATTTGTTTTATAAAGCTGGGGGCTCTGGCGTTAGGTAAATATATATTTAAAATTGTTAATGTCTTGTTGAATTGATCCCTTTATCATTATATAATAACTATCTTTGTCTTTTTTTTTTAAACTGTTGTTAATTTAAAGTCTGTTGTACCTGATATGAGAATGACTACTCCTGCTGGTTTTAGGTTTCCATTTTCATGGAATATTTTTTCTCATTCCTTTACCTTGAGTCAATAGGAGTCTTTGGGTGTTAAGCAGGTCTCTTGAAGGCAGCAGATATTTGGATTGTGTTTTTCAGTTTTTTTGCTTTTTTGGGTTTTTTTTTCCATTCTGCCAATCTGTATCTTTTTAGTAAGGCATTGAGTCCAATTATATTCCAGGTTAGTAATAATATGTAAGGTACTATTCTGTTCATCATTCTGGTTATTATCTTGTTACTTTACTTATTTACTTGTTTTCTGTATTGTGTTATCATTCCATAAGCCCTGTGAGCTTTATGATTTCTAGGTTTTTCTGCCAGTATATTTTAATCTTTTGTTTAAGTATTTAGAATTCTTTTGGAGAGAACACAACTTCTCTTAGTGTTTGCTTGTCTGAGAAAGACTTCATTTCTTCTTCATT